ATTCAAAACACATTCTGGCCTACACCCTTCGTATGGATTTCCATAGTATTCAGGCAAGCACGTACATGAACCAGCTCCATTTTGTTCTTTACATATTGCATTTGTCCCACATGGGGATGGTAGACATGGATTTAAATACTCTTGTGGTATCRGATCGGCTGAATAGAAGAGTATAAATTAGTTTAAAAAAATTTTTTTTTATATGATCATTTTACCTTGCTGTACAATACATTGCGTGAACGGATCACCGACGTATCCAATTGGACATTTGCATATTGGCGAATGGCTTACTACATGGCATTCAGCATTTGGTGCACATGAACCTGGACAAGGATCTTTACATTTCATATTAGCACAAGCTAGATTATAAGAGCACTCGCTATTGGTGATACATTCCGGCTTGCAATTTGGAGGTGATCCGATGAAATTAGGTAGACATGAACATGATGGTGATTCACCTTGAACCTTGCACTGAGAATTTGGTCCACAAGGAGATGGTATGCAAGGATTACCAACGTATTGTGGTGAATCGGCTGCTACATTTTTATATGCAATAATTAATAATTGTCTTTTAATCAATCAATTCAAATATATGTATATTTGATTACATACGTTTATTGTAACATCTTGTAAATGGATCTCCAATTAAACTCGGTGGACAGCTACAAATTGGATTATGATTTATAACTTGACATTTTGCACCAATTCCACAAATACTAGGACATGGGTTTCGACACTTTTGATTTGAACAAGCTTCGCTCAGACTACAGTCGGAATTTATTGTGCATTCAGGTCTACACAAAGGTGGTGCACCCAAGTATCCAGATATACATGAACACACTGCTACACCATTCATTTGTTTACATTGGCTATTTGGTCCACAAGGAGATGGAGCACATGGATTGATGATTTCAACGGATGCTGAAATTATAGAATGTATTTGAATGTATGATTATGATATTTGATAAATATAATATTTAAACAGTTTGACTAAATTTTTTCGAATGAAATATTTTTTTTTTTACCTTGGATAGGTATGCATTGAATAAATGCATTGCCATTCATGCCTTGGGGACAAGTACACATTGGAATATGATTGTAAACGTTACAAATTGCATTTAATCCGCATGTTCCTTGACATGGATTTTTACATTTATTATTAATGCATGCTTTAATAATGGGACAATCTGTATTTAAAATACATTCTGGACGACAGCCAGAGTATGGATCACCTTGATATTCACTCAAGCAAGAGCAAATACCATTATTGCATAATGCATTTGATCCACATGGAGACGGGTTACATGGATCGTCATATTGTGGTATAGGAGCTATGAATCAAAATTATTGAAATTAATGATTTCATGCCCCTAATTATACTATTAATAATCTATAGTGAATAAAATACTTACAAGATGTAGGTTTTACATAGCAAGAAGTAAACGGATCACCAGTGTAACCATCAATACAGGAGCATATTGGGTTATGATTATAAACATTACAATTAGCATTAACACCACATGATCCAGGGCATGGGTCTTGGCATTTTTGCTTCATACAAGCTTTATTTTTTGGGCATTCTTCATTTATTGTACATTCGGGTCTACAATTTGGCGGGGAACCAATATAATTTTCTTGGCAAGAACAAGAAGGATATCCATTGGAATCTTTACAATATGAGTATAGGCCACATGGTGATGGTATACATGGGTTAATTGGTTCATTTTGTATTGGAGGTGATGGCAAGTCTGTTAAAATTTTAATTATTTGATTAATTAGGATCATTTTGTAAGAATAAAGAGGATTGGAGAAAAATATTTACAAATCTATGATTTAATAATT